TCTCCCCCCGACCCCATTACGAAGCAGGAGCCGTTCCCAGGGCAGAAACCCTCGGGGTGCACCCCGCCATGGCCCCCAGTACCCCACTACCCACCTGCCGGGCAGGACCATGGCCACGACGCAGGCGAGGGGGTTGGCCATGGAGCTGAGCGTGGCTACGAGGTGGTAGGCAGAGTTGCCGTAGGGCAGGCAGGAGTAGGACTGCACGGAGGGCAGGACCCCGTTGGTCAGGGCGCTCACCCAAGAGATGAGGAGGTAGATGAAGGTGAGCTCAGCCAGGGTGTAGGAGACCTTCTCCAGCGGGATGTCCCCGGGCCCCTTGGCATCCTTCGGGTACGGGCAGGCTCCGCTGAGCTGCGAGTCAACTCCCTTGTCAGGGATCTGCTCAAAGGAGCTCAGCACGATGGTGCTGCGGAAGAGCTGCTGCTGGGAGAGCTCCCACACCTTGGGCTGCCTGGTGAGGAAGAAGAAGGCCAACAAGCAGGCCAGCATCATGACAGTCATGAGGAGGAAGAAGACGAGGGTGGAGAAGTTGGCCGGGAGGTAGTGCGTCTCCAGCTGGAAGATGGTGGTCTCCACGCTCTCGTTGCCGACGGTGACGTTGAGCACGTGGGTGACGTTGGCGCAGGTGGAGATGCCGGAGCCCTGGCCCAGGGCGATGAGAGCGGGGATCAGCCCGCTGAGCCCTTCACCTATGAAAAAGGTGGTCAGGTACTGGGGCTGCAGCTGCATCATGAAGGGCAGGAAGGTGACGGAGGAGGTGCAGTCTACCAGGGCCAGGAAGAAGGTGAGGAGCAGGAAGGCAGTGCTATGGAGCCTGCCGGCGATGGGGGATGTGTAATTCCAGAGGAAGGCCAGGAGCAAGCAGGCCACGACGCCTATGGACACCACCACGTAGATAACAGCCACCTCCTTCAGCATGCCGGGCCGGAAGTGGTGCATGAGGGTGACGAAGAGGGGCCCCACGTTGGCCATCTGGATGATGATGGTGATGTAGGCGGGCAGGTCCCACTGCTCCGGCAGCACCGTCACCAGCAGAGGCAGCTCGACCCACAGCCCGTTGATGGCCATCCAGGAGCCCATGCCGAAGGTGCAGGCCAGGAGGTGGGTGAGCAGCGCCATGGCTCAAGGCCGGGTGCCCCTACCCGGGGGCAATGCTGTGGGGAGAGGCTCTGGTCAGTGTTGGGGTCAGACCTGACCCCCCCTGGACCCCAACCCCGGCCTCCCACGACCTCCCCTCTGGCAGGCAAGCACAAC